TTTTACTCATACAAGGCTTAAAAAATTTAACGTTGACTTAATTTAAAAGAAAAATATAATAGACCCACTTTAAAGAAAATTTCCCTAACCTTTTTGATCATTAATAAACCAATAATGTTTCATTGTTAATAAGCTTGCCTCTCTCTTTTCTTTTTATTTTGAATCGGCATTAATTAGCTTTTCTACTATTAAATGGTTTCGATCAGTTTATATTTCTGGGTACTTCAATTCTTTTTTTCTTTTTTCTTTTTTCTTTTTTAAAGCTTACATCTTCCTAGTTAACTTAATGAAATTAAAAAAAAAATTAAATGTTTTAATAATTAAAATATATAATTGATAAAAAAAAATTAAAATACACTTAATGCATTAACACATAAAAAAATTTATTAAAAATATTTAAATAATTTTACAAAAATTTTTAATATTTGGTAAGTATATTCATGGACGTGCAAACTACTTATCATTTGATTAATCAATATTCACCGAGTAATTTTCTAATCTTCATCTTTGGGTCCATTTTTTTCACTGGGTCATATGAAGACCCAATTTTTATGGGCCCGTATGGATTAGGTACATTAGATTCAAAACAAATCAAATTGGGCCTTTTTACGTTTTACCTGATCCTTAAACCCGAAATCAAGCATAGACTGGTTAAGGGCTGTGCTTCCCCTCTTTCATAACACAATGTTCATAACAAAATGTAGTAAAAATCAAAATATTTTGTCATTAAAAATATTACATTAATAAACAAGATCTAAGTAAAACTTATATTATATTTTATATATTTAATAATTATAATTAAACGTCTTGAAATTTTTTATGTTATGATATTTTAAATTTTCACTTTTTTTGATAATAAATAAAATAACATTCTCTTATATTTTTATAATATACATACCTTGTAAACTTAAATTTGTAATCTCTTACTTCTACTTACTATCAATCTTCTAGAATTACTAATCTCTTCTTGTCTAAGTCTCTTTTTTTGGGCCGTCCTTCTTGTCTAAGATTGATACAAATCAAATTGTCTTACAACAAATTCCAATCCAATTTGGAACTTGGAGTTGGAAATTTTGTCTTAATTCCGATGATTCCTAGCTAGCTCGTGACTCATCTCACAATAAGATCATTAAACTAAGGATTAGAATACATTATCAGTTCTTGTCAACTTCATTATCCCATTCTCGAAATTTATCCCTACTCCCATTTTAACCTCATATATTTTCGAGTGTCGTTGTTTAGTATTTAGGAACTCCATCCAACGGGAAACTCCTATGTTTATGCTGAATTTTAGAGGGATTGTTGTACTCATCTTAGTTAACATATCAAGATCAAGATGCTGCAGGCTGCAAGATTAATACAAAATGCCAGCCCTTGTCAGAACCTCCACTATACATTGTTCAGATCGATAACCCATTTTAAGACAAGAAGTTGCCTTTCATAACAAAATGCGAAAACTAGTCTGATTAAGCTTCAAATTATTCCTGTCAAATGCCAAATTTTATGTTACTTTGGTATTTTGCTGACTCATCTCACTCATGGTTTCAGTTTTCAAGGGATGAAGGGAGTAGGTAGGGATAGATTGCATTGGGTACCGTCACAAATGTTCTCCTTAGTGGAGTATATGTTATGTTGCATCCATACATAAAAGAAGCACCTTTTTCATCAAAGGATTTGGTACAAAACAAGAAGGCAATTCACCCCATTAGCCAAAAACAGAGGAGACAAAGGAGTGGGAATTTTCTTGGGTTTTCTATCTACATCGAAGTTCACTCCATTTCCTATTCTAATTTAATGTGTTCTTTATTAAAGCACTATGAGAAAGAAGGCAAAAAGGCAGGGAGAAAAAAAATATGTTTAAAGAAGACTTAACATCTTATGCTTGAATTGGAACATAACCTCAAGATTTGAGAAGATCTATAGGACATGAAAATGCTGGCCACTTCCACCACCATCTCAACCAAAACAATAAAGAAAAGGGGAAAAAAGTTTAAGATGGGGTAAGTGGGCATCATTTTCCCACTTTGAGATTCAGCTTATCTAGTAGGATATGTAGTTAACCACTATGGTTTGTTCTTTGGCATGAATTGCAGCATATTGTTCTAAAACATAGACTATGGAGAGGGAAATATAAGATACTCCAAATGCTCTTTGCCAAAACACTCCACATCTAAAGTTAAGTCTCCTATATGCTTTTGGATTTTTCTCAAGCCTCCATTGTCTCTTTGTCCTAATGTAACAACAGAGTACCACTTAGTGGATGGCGTGTGCCATGAGAAGAGAGAACAAATAGTAGATTTGGAAGCACATGGAAGGCTTTCCTTGCAATCCTCACCATCACCCACTAGGCAACAAGAAGGCGTGTTGTTTTGTTTTGGTAGGGCATGTTTGGACTGGTGTTGTGTTTTTTAGCATTATGGCAAATTTAGCCAGCTCTTATTCCCATCCAGTTCACATACTGCCAAACAAGATCAGCTCAGTGAGAGAAAGAAAGTTAAGAAACAAGGGCAGAGAGGGGAGGTAATAAAGCAGTGGGCTTTATGCTTCTATGTATTTCAAGAAATTCCATATTCCCCTGATCCATCCAAGGGACAACAAAACAATGAAGACAAAAGCAACCCCCTGTGTTGTCGCCAATGCAGCCATGGAAAGATCCTTTAATGCCATAGCTTTAATTCCAATTGACTCACTTTACCACAGAACCCTTCACCACAAACCCTACTCAGCTTTGAATCCACTTTGATGGATTAGGGGATTTTGCTAACCAAGGTTGCAAATTTTCTCAAGGGTGATTCTGGGTTTTTAATGAACTTCAAAACCCAGTCGGGGATTTCAATATACTTTTCTTTTCTGTCAGTCATTCTTGAGAGAAGTCTGTGTACTAGTCCTCGGTAATTCTCTGTTCCTTTTTCATGACTTAGTTGCTTGATTTGATGAATTCTGACAACATTACATAATTGGGTAAATCGTGTTTTGCTTGTTTTGTAGAAAAAGGTCATTGTATTCTGTTTTGTCTTGGAAGTTGAAGTCAGCTCTGTTTGACAGTCGAGAAAAAGAAAAATGTGGGAATGTTGAATGATTTGTTTATATTGAGAAGCATAAATTGTTAATCATGCTCTGTGATTTTGTTTGCAAATAGAGATCAATTTCCTTTCAGGTCTGCATTGGTTTTCCATGAAAGTGCTTGGAAATAATAAAAACTGAAACTTTCATGGCTGTGGAAGCAGAGAGCTAAAAATGAAAAGAGAAAGAAGAGGAATCGGAATCTATTTCACTTAGCTAATCTGCATCCAACCATTTGGTTTAGTTGCTCTTGATTTTCTTTGAACTTATAATGAGAAATGGAAGAAATATAATTTCTAGAACCTGCAAGGAGAATTACTGGAATTCTGACTTTAGGAGTTACCAGGTATGCAACTTGCCCCTTAGGCTACTGAGAATATGATGTACATGAAGGAAAAAACAACAGTTTAAACTTTAAAACCAGAATATAATTGATAGAAAAAAAGTTTTTTTCTCTTTTTACTCAGTTTTATGGGTGAAGATTAGTGTTTATTGTTAACAGTTGATTTGTTTAGCATCAATTTCGTCTCAGTTGTAGCTATTTCTTAACTATTCTCATATTTTCGTTCTGGGGTGTTAGGTTATCTCGAGGTGTTAAAAACAATAATGGCTCAAGAGGATGGATCATCATCTTTAACTTCGTCGCCTCTCCAGTTCTGCTCCTGGATGTCTTTGTCTCCTGGTTTAGGTTCCCCATATCCATGGCTTCGAGAGCTTAAATCTGAGGAGAGAGGTTTATGTCTCATCCATCTTCTTGTTGCCTGTGCTAACCAGGTGGCTGCTGGTAGTCTTGAGAATGCAAATATTGGTTTAGAGCATATATCTCACCTTGCCTCGCCTGATGGTGATACCATGCAGCGAATTGCTGCCTACTTCACCGAGGCACTTGCTGACAGGATGCTTAAAGGATGGTCTGGTCTACACAAAGCTCTCAATTCAACAAAATTACCATCAATTTCTGAGGAAATTCTTGTTCAAAGATTGTTCTTTGAGCTCTGCCCCTTCTTAAAGCTTGCATATGTTATCACGAATCAGGCCATTGTAGAAGCTATGGAAGGGGAAAAGATGGTTCATATTATTGATCTCAATTCCTTTGAGCCTGCTCAGTGGATTGATCTTCTTCAAACATTAAGCGTACGTCCAGAAGGACCACCCCACCTGAGAATTACAGGCATTCACGAACAAAAGGAGGTGCTAGATCAAATGGCCCTTCGGTTGACAGAAGAAGCTGAAAAGCTGGACATCCCATTTCAGTTCAACCCTATAGTTAGCAAACTAGAGAATCTTGATCTTGAAAGCTTGCGTGTCAAGATGGGAGAAGCCCTTGCAGTAAGTTCTGTGCTTCAGCTACATTCTCTTCTTGCAACTGATGATGAGATGCAACGTAACTCACCATCAGCATCCTGGACCCCAAATTCCAATCACCAAAGAGTTTCGCGGATACACCACCGCACTTTAGGAGAGTGGCTTGAGAAAGAACCAGCCAATATATATGGTGCTAGTCCTGACTCAGCCTCAACATCATCCCCTATGTCCTTGGTTGGTTCAGCAAAAATGGGCAGCTTTCTATCTACTCTTTGGGGCCTGTCACCCAAACTAATGGTGGTAACCGAGCAGGAATCAAACAACAATTGCCCGACTTTGATGGATAGGGTCATGGAAGCGTTGAACTTCTATGCTGCCCTCTTCGATTGCTTAGAGTCAACGGTATCCCAAGCATCAGTGGAGCGACAAAGGGTCGAGAAGATGCTCTTTGGCAAAGAAATTAAGAACATCATAGCATGTGAAGGTATTGAGAGAAAGGAGAGACATGAGAAGCTTGAGAAGTGGATTCAGAGGTTAGAACTGGCTGGTTTCGGAAGAGTGCCCTTGAGTTACCATGGTATCCTGCAAGCAAGAAGGTTACTGCAAAACTTCCGCTATGATGGATATAGGGTCAAAGAAGAGAATGGATGTATGGTCATTTGCTGGCACAGTCGACCCCTCTTTTCAGTTTCCGCCTGGAGGTTTAGACGATAAGATTAACATTAGCCAAGCATCCACAAAATTCTGTGTGTTTCTTTTCTTATTCTTCTGTTTGTAAAGAACCTTGAAAGTTTTTATTTCTATGTTAGTTCACAGTGTTCCAGCCATGAATTCAAGCAAATTCATCTTTACTCCCTTTCGTAATCTGATTTTATTGATTCATATATATATCCAGTAAGATGCAGGAACATGTAAACACACTAACACAAAAGCAACACTCTATGTAAGAAAACTCAGTAGTGCACAACAGAGACATTGTATTCAACCACAGCGTCTCCCTTCTGACTCATCCAAAACGTCTTCGCCAAGGCATAGCCACGGGCAAACCGGAAAATGCCACTTCCTCCGACCACTGGCATTTCTCTAACGGATTCAAAAATCTGATTCCGGCCTAGAACACTAATAGTACTTCCATTGTAAATACCCTCTAGGAAAGCAAAATTCATGACCATGAGCAACCCGGCACCCTCTTTGGAAGCCAGAGCATAGACTCCCTGAGCTCTTCCAACCAGCTTTGAAGTAGGCTCCGGACCTTCTGTTAACGGATCATCCGCCATGTAAGTTTCGCCAAAATAACCAGCATCCGGACTGATGATTTTTACGGCAGTGGGGCTTTCCCCGTCGATGATGTCGTGGAAGTAGAAATGGAGTTGGGTCATTTTCTCCATCCGTTCTGTAGACACTACAGGGGATTGCTCAGCGAATTCTCCATTAATGAGATTAACCAGGAAAGTTGAGAAAAGGGTTATGAAGAACAAGTTGCAAAGAGCTTGATTGACAGAGAAAGCCATAAACTTCGGTTCGGATTTGAACTGGTATGTTCAGTTCATATAAAATACAAGGCTGGAAGGTATAAACTTAGCTTAACAGAGTTATTTTTCTCTGTACATCAAATGATGAGGCACGCAATAGAGAATAACTCTCTTCTTCTTCGGAAACTAAGTTTAAGCATGAATTTCTTTAAAGTGAAAGATTCGTGTCTAGTTTTTCTTCATCATTTTGGGAGGTGGGGTAAAGGCATTGATGTTAATTTGTCTCTGGATCCTTCTAGTTAGGCAACAGTCTTTTTCCTAGTTCATGATTCACAGGCACATGAAAATAATGAATGATGCAAAGCACATTCTGCTAGCCAAAGTCAATGAATGGCTTTCCGATTTCAGAGCATGCTTGCTTACTGGTGATGATTTAAATCATTTGATGGACAAGGGGTACCCCTAAGGGCATGTTTGGATTGAAATTTTTCATAAAAGGGTGAATTCAAGGAAGTCGAGTTATTTTTGGCCGTCGGCTTTTACTTGAAAAATAATTATCTAATGTTAATGGGACATAATCAATTAGAATTTGTTATAATTGGCAGAATGGTAATCGAATTATATTCACAATATAGTTGCTCATATTGTTTATAAGAAACAACAATAGACTACATTCATTAATAAACACTCATATTGATAAACCAACAATTTGGTCTAAATGGAGAGAGTTTAATTTTCCTTAAATAAGATTTTGACTAAATGAAAAGAGTTTGAATCTTATGAATAAAAAAATCCGTACTAGAAAAACTTCACTTTTAATGGGATTTGACGCGACTCAATTCTAAATTAGTCAGAATTTAAGGTCTATTTGGTACAGCGGTTAAAATTCAGCGGATAGCGGATAACAGGTAGCGAATAGTAAATAGTGATAGTGGGTATTGGGTAGCGAATGACGGTTAGCGGATAGTGGAAAGTGAGTAACGGATGGTAAATAATGGATTCAATAAATATAACTGTTTGG